CCATGCCCCCCCCTCCCCGCACCATCACGCCCCCTCAAAGCATCTCCTCCAACATGGCCACATCCCCTCAGAGCATCCCTCTCCACTACTGTGTCCCTCCCAGCACATCCCCGTCCCCGTGTCCCCGCGTCTGCTGGCACCTGTGGGGCCTCGGGGGTGTCGAGGATGAGGTCGGGCAGGTCCTGCAGCATCTTGTCGAAGGCCCAGGCGATGTCCTCGGGGGTGACGACATGGCCCACCAGGTCGGACAGCAGGCGGGAGGTCAGCTCGCGGTGGCTGGCCTTGCCCTCCAGCGCCAGGGCCACCGCCAGCGAGGGCACCGCATGCCGCCGGCTGCCCAGGATCAGCCCCCGCAGCAGCTCCTGCGCCCAGCATGTCACACCCTGCCACCTGGGGACCCCCAGCTCCTCCTCAAGGGACCCCCGACCTCCCCCAGGGACAATCCCCATCACCAAGGGACCCCCTTCTCTCTCCCTGGATTCTGCCCCACACCAGCCTGGCCCCCATGATGGTCACCACCACAGGATGTCCAGTTTCTCCCCAAGGACCCTTCCTCATCCCAGTTTGTCCCATCCCTGAGTGTCCATGTCACCCTGACCTCCCCCAGGAACACTCCCCGCCCCCAAGGGACCCCCTTTCTCTCCTCCACACCAGCCTGACACCCCTGAAGGTCCTCGCCACCAAGAGACCTCCTTCCCCAGGGGACCCTACTTCTTCCTGAAGAGGCCCTATCAGCAATGGACCCCCATCCCCTCCCCAAGGGACTGTTCCCCATCCCAGTCTGCCCCTGAGAGTCCTTGTCACTGAGGGTACCCGGTCCCCCTGCCAAGGGACCCTGACCCACACCAGCCTGTCCTGTTCCCAAGAGCCTCCTATTTTCTCCCCCATCCCAGCCTGCACCATCTCTGAGGGTCCATATCACCGAGGGCCCCTGTCCCCTCCCTGAGGACACCACACCAACCCGCCCCCCCCTGTGGACCCCCACCGCGACGCACCATGACCTCGCTGGTGTCCCCGTGCTCGAAGTACTCCATCACCATGGGCTGCACGTTCTTCTCCAGCTCCCCCTCCTCCAGTTCAGGCACCACGGTGGCATAGACCGTGTCTCCCTGCGGGGACAGGATGATGCCACCACTGCCCGGGCTGCCGGCAAAGGCAGGGGATGGTGTTGGGGGGGAGATGAGGGGCTGGGTCCATACCTGAGCTGCCTCATCGTAGTTGGGATCACGGGCATCGGGCTCCTGGTAGCCATAGACCACACCGGGGGCACCCCACACGCCCTTACCCCCAGCACCACCTGCACCGAGCACACACGGAGTGAGTGGGGGCTTGGTGGCAGGGGCCATCAAGGCCCCCAGCGGCCCCCCCCCAGGCAGGGACTAAGCGTGGGGCACTGGGAAGGAGCCCAGCCCCACAGGAGATACAGGAGGGGTCCCAGCCCCACAGGGAGTGATGGAGCCACGTGCGGTCCCAGCCTCACAGGGAGTGATGGAGCCACGTGGGGTCCCAGCCCCACGGGGGACGCAAGGAGGGGCCCCTCACCTTTCTTGGGCAGCCCGCGGCCCTTGCCCATGCGGGACCTGCGGTCGTGGGTCCTGCCCTTGGGGCTGCCGGGCTCGGGGCCGGGCTCGCCGCCCTCAGAGAGCGATTCGCGGGTCGAGTCCCGGGACGAGGTGCGCCGCAGCCGCCGCTTGGCCTTGGCCTTCAGCCGCGCCTCGTGCAGCAGCTTCTCCTGGGGGGTCCAGGTGCGGGGACCCCCAGCCCCCAGCAGCTCCTCGTCCCCATCCTCCTCCTCCTCCTCCGCACCCGCCGGGCAGGGGCCCTGTGCAACGTGGGTGCCACCATAGTGATGCGACGTGGTCTCCCCCAGGACCCCCATGGGACCCCCACTGTGCACCCTTGGCCTCCCTTGGGACCCTCGTGGGACCCCTGGCCTCCAACACGACACTCATGGGACCCCTGCCTCTCCCGGGACCCCCACGGACCCCTGCCCTTCCAAGGGATCCCCCCCACGCACCCCCAACCCCTCCCGGGACCCCCACGGACCCGTG